TATATTCCCATATCGTTTGTCAATGACGTTTTCGTGGAACGTAATCAATACGTTTCTCGTAAAGCTCGATAGAATATAGAGTCGACTGAAATTTGCAACTGTACAGTCGAGATTCTACTTGACGTATTCGTGAATAAACGTATCTCATTATGAAAATCGACGACGAATATCCGATATTATGATGTAAACGAGACAAATATGTAATACCAAATTTTTCGCATTAAAATGTCCCAAATAAAGCGCAAATTATGGAGTAAAAGAATTATCGCGTTTCATTGAGAGAAGAGAGAAAGAGAAAGATACGAATTTTCACGTCTCTCGCGAACCGAGAAGATTTTAGATATCTCCTTCTTTCGTACTAACGAAAGAACATCACCGTAAATTATAATTAACGCTAATGCTAATTTTTCGCTATAGGAAAAAGATTTTTTCTTTTTTTTTTCGTTGCTTATTGCGATGTTAACAAAGGAAAATAAAGTAACGTCCGCATATTCGCGTTGCGAGCCATAGAGTATGAAGAAAAGCATTAAAATAATTAGTTTCGTGTGAAAAGAAGAAACGTAAGATGTGGATAACCAAGGATAATCACGAGCCGCTTGTAATTTCTCTATGATTTTTCAGACATGTTACAAGACACTTATATTTTTCCATTTATCTTCCTTCCTTATTCTCTATCATATTTTTCCCCTTAGAACGTATCTACCGTTTTCTTTCAAAATTCACCGCACTATTCCTCGATTAATAATACACTCGCGGGGTTAGTTAATGCGAAACCACGCCCGTGAAAAAGCTTCGACCTCGAGACTGAACGGGATTTTCTTGCGAAAAAGCGATTTTTCTCCTCTTTTTCTTTTTTTTTGTAATTTCTTTTTTTTCTGACGATCTCTTTCTTTTTTTTTTTTTTGTTTTTTTCTTTTTCTTTTACTACTACTTCTTCTGCGTGTTTCCATCTTTCTTTTTTTTTTTCCCCTTGAAAAAGGTTAAATATACTATTTGCAATGAGTTTATCGCGATGCTACCGTCCCAACTCGTAACTCGTTTTACGTAACGATCAAAGTTGCTGTCTATTTTCACGTATACAGGGTATATAATAGGATTTTGTGAGAGAGTGGAGGAAGTATTAGATACTCATACGGTCATGCTTGCATATAGGGTAAGAAAAATAGGTTATTCTATGTGGATTATGGAACGCATACGTATGTAAATATGAAATACTCATGCAGATGATCGAAATAAGTTAAGGAATATGTTGGCTTTCAGAGAACTTCCTTTTCTACTGAAAAGTACTCTTTCAAATTTCCCATGGTTTCGAACTCGAAAAATAAACGTTCTTAAATTTTTAGGCTAATTCTCTTTAAAGGCTAGGCTACTCGCACGAATCTTTGAAACTCTGACATTTCGCCGATCGAGAATTTCTCGACGAGTGACGTAAATTTATAGTAAATTCGTTTCAAGAGTAACGCCCGTCCAAAGCAGTTACGCGAAAGTTATCGTGTATAATAGGCAAGCGAACAAACATTTTGAGGGTAAGGAAAAATGACGTGACGATAAAGAGGGACGAAACGATATCGCGATAAAGCGAGACATAAATAGAGCACTTGGGAAGAGAGAGAGAGAGAGAGAGAGAGAGAGAGAGAGAAGAAAGCTGTCCGAGTCTATCGAAAATTTGGTTCACGTGACTTTTCCAACAGCACTTTACATACCTTTTAGCAAGTTTGATCAAACTTATAAAAAAAAGAAAAAAAAAAAAAGCGAATCAAAGATATCTTACGTAAGAAGGATCAATTTTTTGGATCCAATTATAAGTCTCCATCTCGTCGAGTTATATAACATTATCGTGAGTATTTTCTTTACGCTTTCTTTTTCCTTATCTTTGACCGAACTAAGCGAATAAATACGAGTGGAGCTCGACGATTATTTGCCAGTCGAGGATGGTTTTAACTCAAATGGAAATTCTCTTTGCCGGAATGCAAAGGAATAAAGAAAGAAGAGAAGGAAAGGGCAAGAGAAGGAGAGAGTTATACGCGAACGTTTGTGCTTAGCGTACAAGTCGAGTGCAAGTTCTTCTTTTTTTCCTCGAGTCGGAACGGTATCACGTGACGATACGTCGGGTAAAAGCGTGAGAAATTTTATTGCAGTGACTCTTAAAGAAAAGCTTCGAGAGCTACGATACGATGAAATAAGAGGAGTCTAATAATACATCTACCGAAATATCCCTTCTTTCGAGTTCAACGAAAAGTCGGAGAAAAGATTGCGCAACATGTCATTTTCTTTGTGCGGCTAAATTGTATTCATGGAAAAATACGGGCTAAAGTGCGTGTTTGTATTCGTACAGATGACGCGGCGAATTTATGGAGAAAATCAAAATTCCTCGATGTATACCTCACGTATACATCGGCATTTCGGAGCGCATGTTGCGGTTAGCTTTCGACGTCGTTGCTTTTCCAAGTGTCTATCTAGTTGGAACCCCGACAAATTTCGAGGACACTTTTTCTCTGATATATATATATATATATATATGCGCTCTTCCGCCAACTTCCTCCATTTCTTTCTACTTAATTTTGACTTTCTACATGGAATAAAAAAACAAATAAATGTAATATCATAATCGAGAAGATAAATGGAGAAGGAGAAACATCGTCCTAATAACGTAAATCACTACTTGGTAAACTTATGGAAGGTGGTTTGGAAAAGGGACGGAGAAGAAATATCAGGGTATTAACGCGACAAGTAGAATCCGTATGCGCGATAACGTTTCTAACGGGAGCTGCTACGTATGCTCCCGTTGCATTCACACGCTGAGAATTAGTCAGCGTGATATTAGATAAGTAAACGAGTGGTACGTGGGCTTGCAAATAACGTGCGAAAAATTATGAGAGCGCAAACGAGATCGACGAAAATGGAAGGATTGACTCGAATCGATTAATTCTTCATTATTCGCACCTAATATCCAAAAAGGAGAAATAAAGGAGAGATAAGGTTATTTGAGAACGATCTAATCTACCTTAAATGATCGTTAGAAGCATTTTCGCCGATATAATAATAGGATTCGTTTTACGGTTTCGCATAAAGATGTAAATGCGATTAGTTTTTTTCCTCGATATCTTCGCCTAACCATGGAAATTTTTCGCTTTCGCGATCGCTTATATCTGAAAAAGATCGGTATGTACACAGGTGCACCTTTATACAAAATTTCTCTTCGTTTCGTCGTTTCTTTAGATTTGCCCATTCCTCCCTCCATCCCCCTTCCACCACGAGAAAAACTTAAAAGAACCTTTTACTCCTCGAGACGTTTTATTTATCAGTAAGCAAGATTTATTCATCGCTTGAAAATTTTTCTCTCTGTCTTTTTCGAGACTTTACCTTGCTCCTCTGTTTATATCGGTAAGATCACACATGGTTACTACTATTCCAACCGTATGCGTTTAAAGCTACAGCGAGAACAGTTCGTAGCCGGATCACGTAGGCCGGCACTGGATCAACCGTATGACCCAAATGAAACGTCGCCCTGCTTTTCCCTGCTTCGCCCTGTTTCTCCTACTTTACAAAAAGAAAAAATATACGTGCGATCAAATATGTGAACGGACTAAAATATTCGTCCTTCTCCTACGACGAATAATATCGACCGTACGTACATACGTTCGTTCTCGTAACGACATCTTTTATCAATGATTACGAATACGAACGACAATCGTATAATATATTTCATCGTTCCCGACCGAATTTAATAAACGATAATGAAATGGAAATGAAAGAGAATCGATAGGAATAAGGACAGAAACTTAATGAGCCATGCGAAACGGCGTTGATTAATGGTGCTACATAGACTCTGCTATATATTATAATATAGCGATAACTCGCTGGACGTTCTTACGGAAACTATATTTTTTCCTGTCATGTTCGTATCTATGTAGATACGTAACGTACATATGCATACATAGGTATTGCGTCCTATCTATCGTGGTACGCGCATGCGTCTATATATATATATATATATATATATATATATATATATATATATATATATATATGTATTCTATAAAGTTACGTAGTAGGTGTATTAAAATACTCTTGGACGTGATAGACGAAGGATAATGTTGCGTGAAAAATGCAGACGACCGCGAGATCAATGAATTTATTTCTTTATCAGCGTGATCCATAACATAATAATAGAATCTTACGAGAAGATGACTAAAGGTTATAATTCGTTCTCGCTTATCTCCATCTATCAATTTTTTTTTCCTTTTCTTTCTATTTTAATCGCGATATTTTCTCTCTCTCTCTCTCTCTCTCTTCGTCTTTTTCCTTCTCTCGTTACTTTCACGGAATAAATATATATTTCCTCCTTCGGAGAAAAAGTCCTCGTATCAGACAGGATTTATACCGTCGTCGAAGAAATGATAAAGAACGTACTCTTTCTTATCGGGAATATTGCGACGTATAGTCGATTCGAATTCGTCGATTTGTCGTAAATCGAGCGCGTTGAATTTTTCAAATTCCGATGCAATAACTCACGTTTATCTTTTCTAAAGAGATATTTATAATACGAATTAGATTTGGTCGAGTCGTCCCTTTATATCCGATCGAACATTCACGTTACTTCGGACAAACTTTGATTGTTCTCACGGTCTTTTCCAACGGTAGAGCAGGATGTATGAATGTCTTGGAGAACTTTCGAAAGAAAATGTAAGGGATAAGAATTGATTGGAGAACATATCCGCACTTTTTTTTTCTTTTTTTCTTTTCTTTTTTTTTGGCCGTAATGGACGCGTTCATTCGTTCAAGAAAAACACTGTTTGCCACTTTTGTCGGAGACAAGGATTATTCGATTTATCTTCTTTATTTCACGCCCTAAGATATTCGGTCTTACGTTATAAAAGGGCGGTGGCCTCCCAGATACGACAGTGGTTGGGAGCGAGAAAAGACGATGTGAGATACTCAAGAGCGTATATACTAGAATTATCATGTTTTTCACTTATTTTTTCTTTGCGAAAGCTTACCGTTCTCTTTGTTCCTTATTGAATTTATAGTCTCGTCGAAGATAACCTCGTTGGAGTTGCAGACGAAGCGCTCGTTTCTTCATGTTAAGCCAGACAGATCACGCGAAACGTGTACCTACGAGTTTTGCCTCTGAAAAACTTTTCTTTCCCTTTTCCTTTATCTCTGTCTAACTGTCTTTTCTTTTTGCTTTCCGAATTTTTGAACGAACGTTCGAAATGAAGAAATACGTCAACTTCTTTTCTCTTTCTCTCTCTCTCTCTCTCTCTCTCTCTCTCTCGAAGAAGAAGAAGAAGAAAGCTTTCGTATAGGCTAGTCTATAACGCGAATGAACTGATCGGAAAATATCGCGTCTGTTTCTTTGATCAGATAAAATACACTTTAGTTCAAAACCAATCTTATATCCAGTGATAGAGTGATAGAAGCGTAACGGCAAGATACGCTGTTTACTCTCGTCGTAAATGAACCGTACCGCGAAGATCAAAGTCCCTGAACGTACCTACGTTAGGCATCGTTTAAACGACGACGACGAGGGTAATAGCACAAAATGATAAGATTAATCGAACGGAAAAAATAATGGAAAACAATTGTTACATTTCGGAAAGCGTTTACACGAGAAAGATACAACGACGAGGAAGACATTAGATCGATTGATTTGTAGAAACCGCACGTGTAGCCACGATTCTGGCCGCACTCGAAGCCGCGGACGTTGCCGCAGTCTCAGCCACGGGAGAAGTTCCTCTTCTCGTTGTCGAAATTGTTCAACATTGTCAACACGCGCGTATTCTATCCCTCAATTTCGTTATCTCGTTCTTTGTGTGATAATAACGATAGCCACGTTTCGTTATAAGAGGATTGTACTACTTTTCTACGCGGACGGAATATAACGATTTTTATTGCGAGGAAAAATGTTTACTAGCCGTTAAAAAAAAAAAAAAAATATATATATATATATATATATATATGTATAAAGAAAGAGAGAGAGAGTTTGCTCGGTTGGAAAAATATACCTAACGTTTAATGATTCTATAAATCGTTTGGTCGTTCCGTGCAATTAAAAGAACAAATAGCGTAAGGGTCGAGAGTACCTTGGTGTCCCGATTCGCCGAAGCGAATATAATGGATCACCCTTTCATTTTCTTTCACTTTGTTTCTCGGTCAATGGATCTTACGGGCAAATAAATGACAAGTAAATGTCGCGTAGATTCGTTTCGTTGTTAGAAAGAGAGATCGAAAGGAATTCTATAAACGTGTATTAACTTTCTCGTTTAACAGCCGGCAAATATCGTAAAATTAATTGACGCAAATCGGATTTTCTTGTATCGCGAATAACGATAGGGCTTGTAACAGACAAGCTTACGAGTCGATAAACACCCCGATTACAGGAGGAAGGATAGAGTTTTGGTTTCCACTTTCGCGAGACTGATGGAGTTCGTTACACCATCGGCGTAGGATCTAGTTAGGTATATAGGATTAGGGATAGTTTATCTCTACCCGATACTCGATCGAACGAACTCTACGAAGAATTAGTTACCTTACGGTCCGCCGATCTTTTGCTTTCAACCTCTCGAGCACTTTTCTTACAAAGGTATTTTACTTCCTAAGGATTCAATATCATCGAAGACGGCCAAGTTTCAGCGACGAGAATTATTCCTCCGATGGAACATATTTCAATGTTAATTTGACGACGACGTCGACGCGACGAGATTGCTCCTACTAATCGCGATGGCTTATATTAATAACGGTAATAAATATCGGTATAACGTAAACGACTTACAAACGCAATCGGATCTCTATACGGTTTTAATTGGGCGCCGTCCAATTTACGCCATATCGTCATTTAATCTCATTTATTTTAACTCGGCTATGACAAGAAAAACTCAAGTCAAGTATGTAGATATCTACGAAACTACTGTATCGCGTGAACGAACGTCATTAAGGATCAAGTTATTTACGTTTTTTTGGGTCTCATTGCGGATTCGACGAAAGAAAAAAGAAAAAAAAACGAAAGAACAAGAAGAAGCTTTTTAGATAATTACTTGACCGATTTCGTCTTCGCGGTCTGTTTACAAATTTAACAAGTTACGAGCACGTCTCGTTATGCTAGATTTATTTCGCTCGACGAATAATTAAATTCTCCCACGAAATTGGAATTTTAAAAGATGCACAAGGTAGGTTACATGCCTAAGTACGATCTTCCAGCTCGATAAACGATAAACATATATTTGTCGCGTTCATGTGCGAAGGACTTTTTTTTTTTTTCTATTCTTTTCAAAGTCTTTCATAACGGTCGATATTGCTTTGATGATAGAGTACAAAAAGATAGGTAAGATAATTCGCGGATTCTTTTCCATTTCTCTTTTCTTTCTCTAAACCATTATATACCTTCGTCATTCAGTGCACGGAGCTTACGAAATAAACGAATCCTTCGTTATCTAACGCTTTCATTCGTTTGAAACCGATCATTGTTTCGTAGATTAATTAATCCACCGACGTATCGCCGTAATCCAGGTTGTTCGTTTGTTCTCACTTTGATATTTTTCAAGGGAAAATCTTAAGCTCCAAAGAATATCATCGTACGAGTAAAGCTTATTTGAACATTCGAGGATTTGGAATTATTGGATGCTCGGAATCGCGACAAAAGGATCCTTGCAAATGGCGCGGAGATTCGTAATACGAAACCTATGTCCTTTGTGCCGCTGCGGCTGGTTACCTTAATAGAGGATACACAAGGGTTTCGGAGATCTCGTAGACCACAAGTATTTAGGATAGAGAACGCCTGGTTTACCAAAGCCATCCGTATGCGACACGTTCGATATCGCGAAAGCTGATAGACGGTCTTGCTTCCCATAATAGAGGGTCAAGGCGAGCAGATAGGGTGAAAAGTTGTTGAATCGACCTTCTACCCTTTCATACGTCTTACTCGTCATTTCCCGCTGTTGTTACTACCACAGTGAATGTTTTCTCCCGACAGAGAGAAATTTACTGATTCTTGTCATTTCGAAAGAGAAGGGGGGAGAGAGAGAGAGAGAGAGAGAGAGAGAGCGCGTTACGTGTTCATTCGTTCGTTCGTTCGTTCAAAACGGACGACCTAAATCCAACGACAATGAAATTTCTCAGGAAGTAAAATCACGAATAAATTTTCTAGCACCTCTGTCAAATTATGAATCGGTAATTTTAACGCAAAAGCAGCTGGAAAAGTTAAAAGAGATATGACTAATCGCGTAAGTACGAAAGGACAAACGTACGTCCGTTCCGTCGGCGATTCAACAGTAAACTGATATCGTCTTTGGCATATAAATAGATCATGGCTCGACTTTGTATTATGTAAACAAGTTTCCTGCTTTAGCACGATCGAAGCATTCGTGTCTTCCTAGCTTACAACTACGGTAGTGGTTTATTAGCGCGTTCTATTATTTGTAATCAATGACTTCGAACTGATGAATGGATAATAATTCGAATAAAGATAAATATAACGATATCAAATTCGTTATTTTCTCTCGAGCGAAATACGTGATATTAAAGAAACAAAGTGTACGAATCGGAGATAATCGAAAAAATCAATATTCCTAGATTGTTGTCAGCGTCGCTGACAACGTTATTATAATTTATTTTTCAGGATTCGACGGAACGGTGAAAGGAGCCCGCAAGGACAGAGATGATAGAAAGGAAAGACGGAGAGTACGGTGAGACGATCGGAAGCGTTCTGAATGGAAGAGAGGCGGCAGCCTATTGGTCGGTACGATTCGGTGAGAAAGAGAATGAAAAAGAATCGAGGTGAACGTATTGGATAGAGATAAAGGAAGGAAATAGAAAACAAGGAAGGATCCTTGAATCGTAATTACTTCCTTCTCGCGAGATCGCGCGGCTAGTAGGCGGATTAGCGGCTGCGAATGATGAAGTTCGCTTGGTGGTTCGTGTCCTTGCTGATGACGCCGGTGCTAGCTGGCCTTCCGGATGGCACCGTAACACGTGGCGAAAGTGGAGTTAAAATTGGCACGGTTGAGAGAGGAACGACGACACCGAGAGGCACCAGGGGTAGTTCAGCGGTAAGGATAGGGGAGGGCGGATTTCCAAATTCTACGAGAAAGAGAGTGACTACGACCACGACGACGGTCGCGACAACGACGATGATTACGACGACAATGCCCCCATCAAGGTTCACTTATACTCCTCAATCCTCCGTGGGAAACAATCATAATAACACTTACTTGAAGGTGAGATCAATCTATCTATCTTTTTTCTCTAATATGACAATGCCTTTGCTAGGATAAACAAAGTGAAAGACAAAGAGAGAAATTATTTCATTCTCCGTTTATACCAAGGGTCCATACTATTTTCCCTCTCTCCTTTATATATCATTCTCTAGGAGCTTGAGTGTTCGCGGTCTATTCATCGGTAACAATCGATTTATGCAACAGGTGTGCATCGGTTCGTTGTGCTATAATAAAGTCGCAAATGCTCCTACTTTTTGGTTTTTTAATCGTTCTCGTCGTACACGAGTACGGGAGTATCGTTAAAGACTTTATGATCCGCTTCCTCCAAGGAGAGAAAATTCACGGGATAAAGCGACGAGAGAGAGAGAGAGAAAATTTTCTCACGTTATTTGACAATTCTCTTGATTATCTTATCAGCTAAAAGCTTCTCTCACAAGTTCACATTGATATCGCTAGAGTTTATTTCGTGTCTGAGAAAGAACATTCTTATGTCAATAAGACGACTTAAATTTATTCGATCGCGAAACTTGCCACGAGAGCGAATTTATTTATTTATTTTTTTTTTTTTTTTTCGACAATCGTATCGATCGTCGTCTCTCTAACGATTACCTCGGATAAACGTTCGTCGATTGTTTTTATCCATTTGACGTTCGATCTATTAGAGGACGAATATTTGACTCTGGCTTGGGCCGAAGGAAACATTTTTTGGCTGAAAAAACGCATTTTTTCCATCATATACGTGCACGAACGTACCGACCGTATACGTATCACATAATGAGCTTTGTGCAAAAATATATATACTTTACTCTTTCTCTCTTTCGCGTTATTTTTTTTTTTATACTTTCAACACGTCCATTCATTTCGTCCGGCGCTTAAATCGCTTTCATGTCCACTCATTAAACTCGAGTTTCATGGTAGATACCTAGATATTATTGTATCGTTCAGGCATGTTGCCTCGTTGAAGTCCTCTCAACTTTCTCTTTTTTCGAGAGTACTATGAAACATTATTGTTTGAACTTTTCGTTTCCTTTATTTATCACTATAAGCTCGTTTTATGGGTTTATCTAATGCGACATTAAATGAATAAAATGAGCGAGAAAATGAATTTATTGTAATTAATCGAAGAAAGAAGGTTTCTCTTGTAATGATTTTTGCTCGACAGGTTGGCATGATGGTGCCATACAAGACATTCGGCGTTAGGGATTACACGAAGGCTGTGACCTCGGCGATAAATATGCTACAGAAGAGTACAAGAGGACCAAGGCTCGGACTCTTTCAACATCACGACATATACGTGAAAATATCGATGATGGAACTTACGCCTAGTCCGACAAGTGAGTCAGATTTTTTTTTTCTTCTTTCTGTTATATTCCCTTTCTTTTGTCTCTCACTCTCTCTCTCTCTCTCTCTCTCTCTCTTCTTTCTATTTTTCCTTCAGTTTTTCTCAACGCGCGGATCTACCGAAGATCCTCTCGAATAAAGGTTTCTTCAAGGGTTCCCATTGCGACGGGATATCGATCGTTCCTTTTCACCGATAAAACAATAAAATAACTCCGCTCGGAGAGCCGTCGCGAGACGATATCTATCCCCCTATCTTCGAATATTAATCGCCGTCCCGTTCTCGAATGTCCGGTTTAAAGAAGAAATGCGTCGATTTAGTTGCTCATCGAATCGAATAATTG